GTTTCCCTGGGTTCTACCCCCTCATAGCTCCTCACACTCCCTATAGAAAGTAAATCTTGGGAGATTTCTAAACTCCTCCTTATTTTGAATACATAGACTTCCTTATGATTTCTAGTTTTGCATCGTACTAAAAAAAAATGTTTCCAAATCTAAGAAAATAATATAAACTCCTGTCTGATTTTAGCTAGTTCTTTCAAACTAACAAGCAGTGTTAGGTTTCAATGCCTGGCCAATTTCTCTCGACATGTCATCCAGATTCATCCATGTTATCACTAAAGAGGACATCCTCTCTTATTGGTGCGTAGTTTATCATTATATATGAGAGTTGATAAGTTTTGGATTCTCAATTATTGGATATCCTCCACTACTGAGGCAATAAGTCAATCAAGCCGAATTTGTAAATCCAGGTATAATCTGAACAGAGCAAAGCATCTCCCTAGTGTCTCTTGTACAGTCTGTAGGTGTGGTCTTGGTCATCTCCAGGAGGGTCTGACTTTGGCAGGCTTTCTAAGGGGAGGGGCCACTACTTGGCGGGCTTTCTGAGGGGGCAGGGTCTGGAAAGGAAAGAGTAGGACCAAAGCATGGGCCTCCACCACCTCCAGCTAGAGATGCCCCAACAGGAGTATGGATCACAATTTTCCTCATTTATTCACTGATAGATGAAGATGTGTTCCATGGTCTAGCTATTGTGAACAGTGTTACAATACACAATCGAGTACAAATATCTCTTGGGGGAGGTAGAGAGGAAGTAGACATTATTTACTATAAAAAGGTATCAGGCCTGGTGTTTAAAGGCACAGTAGGAGGAGTACAGTTTACAAAAACATACAGTGTTTCTAAAAATAGCTGAGAGGGTTTCAATATATTCACCATAATGAAACAAGGAACGTGTGTTAATTCTAATGTGCCAGTCAGAAAACACATCCTACTCTGTGTTGTTATTCCCAGTCACTCCTCCAGCTATATTGTGATACCTCAGTAAAACCCCCCACTCTATCCCCTACAGACAAAGAGAAGCTTAAACCAGGATTTCTAAGTGTAGATAAGAACTTAGACCCCTTTTCCCCAGGTGGCTGTATCTGCTACAGGGACTTTGGAAAACACAGAGTCAGGATATTCGACCAAAAGACTAAAAAAAGGGAGGCGGGTTAAAATAAACTATATGGTCTGTGCCTTTAAGAACTAGCCTCACAAAGAAAGGGGAGCACTCCTTCCAACCTCCCTGCTGTGAGTGAGAGATTTGGAAGAGCCTCCCTGGAGGCTTGTAAACTTAGAATACACCTTACTTTTGCATTCTGTACCTAAAGTCTCCAGTGGCGGCTTTGGGGATGCAATCTAGGCACAACAAGACCCTCAATCTATTGTCTCAAAAAGGGGGCCTTAGACAAAGATATCTCAATATAGATAGACCCAGGCCAGTTTCAAGTCCCCAGAAATGATGGCGCCAGCTCCAGGGACTCAAAAGAACAAAGTCAGGATGTCTGATGGTAACCAATTAACCACAAGATGCCCCTCTCCAGAGATAACATGACCAGACCCCAGAGATGAGTTGTAAAACTCCTGACAGGGCAAACAGATAAGCTAGAATAAGATAAAGTCCAGGCCCTGGAAAAACTGGACCAATCAAGGATGGACCCGTACTAACCCCCTCCCCTCTAAGAAATTTTATGGGTTTTGCCTATAAAAACTAACTTCCCCAAGAAAGAGTAACTCTTCCCTGCCTCACTTGAGATGGCTTGAGATGAGTTCCCTGTCATGACTTGCAGCAGAAGTAAACCTTGCTTTTGCATTCTGGTATGCTCATCCTTGGTGGTCTCTCTGGGGGTTACAACCTGGGCAAAACAATATGACCACACATGCGCAGTTCAGTAGCCAAGCCAGGGGCCTTATGTCCTACATTAATCCCTGCACTGCCTTATCATGCAATGTGCACATGTGTGGTGTAGCTCCCTAAGCCCATATGCACATGTGCAGGGGAATCCATAAAAAGCAGGACACAGACTCTTCCTCCTCTTTTTCCTTCTCTTTCTCCCCTCTCCCCCTTCCCCTTCTCTCTTCCCCTACCCTTACCCCCTCCCCCTCTCCCCTCTCCTCCTACCCCCTACCCCCCCTCCCTCTCTTCCAGAGGCCTGGTCACGCTATCTTCTGTCCCTCCCCTCTCCCTTCTAATAAAATTCAGCTCTAATAAAGGATTTTGTCGTGACTCGTGACATTTCCTAGCATGCTAAAAGCACCTCCTTAAAACAAACACTCTGGCCCTGAGCTGTTGGGACTGGTTCACCAACAGAGCCCCCACTGGCAAGAGAAAAACCTTGCTGGGTTTGGTTTAAGCCGCCCTGGGCTTTGTCTCGGGCCTGGAAAGTGATGAAGAAGGCCGCCATCTTGGGGGTTCACCATCTGTTCACCTGAGTCACGGTTCTCTTACGGCCTTCACGGCATTTATCTAACCCCTGATCCCTCAGAAGTATATGACTTACCTGAGAAACAGTAGTATTATTCATGGGCTTTCTCTTTTGGTATTAGTCAGAGGAGGTTAAACTCTTACAGAACCTGTGGTGGGCTCGAGAGAGTGGAGTCCACCAGAGGCAGAGGAAAAGATGAAAGTGTTAGAGAGGCTGCAGGGGGCCCAAGACAGCTGAGTCCACAGACAGCAGCTACGGCAACTTTCTCCTAAGTCAGTTTGTTTAGACTTTGCCCACTGCTGTGAGGACTTGGCTGCCGTTTTCAACCCACAGAAAAGTCTGGAGAAGGAAGGAAATCTTTCCTTTGGTAACTTTTCCAAGCACAGTAAGTGCTCTGACTTACAGGAGGAGTATGTGACTTGCAGGCACCTGGCGGGCCGAGCCACAGCTCAAAGTCAGGGGCAGCAGAGGATGCGGACACCTCTGGCTCTCCCCTAAGCAGGGCGGGTTCTTCAGTCTGTTTAAGGGTCCTGGGTAGGTGTGAAGAACCAAAGCACCCCCATTTCAAGCAAGCCTCTCACCCCAGCATGAAACAGGCCTGAGTTTCAAAATTCTCAGAGCTGATGACACAGGTCCCAGGACACAGTCAGGATGTTTGAAGAGCCATCTGGGAGCAACTGATTAACCACAGAATGCCCCAATTCTGGAGATGGTCAAAGAACAAAGTCAGGATGTTTGAAAGACTATCTGGTAATAATTGATCAACCACAGAATGCACCAATGCCAGAGGTAGTCTATAAAGTTTGACCAACAACCAGTTTAAACTACAAAGCAAGATAACACAGAAATCTTGGAAAGCCCCTAAAACCTGAGCCAATCAGAATTGTACCCGTACTAGCCCCCCTAACAGATGTAACCTTGTGGTTTTTCCCTTTAAAAACTGAGCTTGTGGGCACCTCCTCCAGCCTCTACTGTGTTGGATGGCTTGACAAGGTCCCGGCTGCGCACCTTGACCAACTTCAACAAACCTTGATTTTGCATTTCGGTGAGTTCCTGTCTCTGGTGGTCTCTTGGGGGTCTCGCACTCAGGGCACAACAGGTGTGGAGGAGGGGCACTTTAGGTGTGCACTGGATGGCCCAGATAGGGCCCAGGGATTCCAGGGAGGCCTGGTTAGATTGCCTTCCTCTTCACTTTGTCCCCCAGCTCCCAGACTGTGTTTCCCACCACCACAGCAGGGGGCTGTCCACCTAGAGGAACTTGGCCTGATCTCCTGAGGCTGACACTAACTAGACCCCTGAGCTAACAATAATTGTGAACTCTGTTTTTCAAGAACTATTCTATTCCTAAACAAAAATATGAAAGTGGGGGTGAAGCCATGGCTCAGATGTGGAGAGCGCTTGCTGCCCTTGGAGAGAGAGGACTCAGTTCATTTCCAGCACCCACATGGTGGCTCACAATTGTCTAAGTCCAGTTCCAGGGGATTCAACACCTTCTTCTGACCTCTGTGAGCACCAGGCATGCATGTGGTGCACTAACAGGCAGGCAAAACTCCCACACACATAAAATAAAGTGAAACTTTAAGAAATTAAAGGTAAATGGATTTAAAGAATGAAATATAACTGTTTTTTTAAAATGAGAGGACACAGTTTTAAAGTAGAATTCTCCAATGTCATTTTCCCACCATTTACCATAAAGTAAAACTGCAGGTGGATTTGAGGGTGGGATTGATCTCCCATCCCACCCTACTGAAAAACCTAGCATATAACAATAGGAACAGAAGGACTGAGATTGTTCCCTGATGCCACAGAATCATTTAAGGCCAGGAATATACGGGTGCCCTAAGGGAGGGGGAGAATTTCTGAAGCCCTGAAGTCTGGGGGGAAAGGCACAAGAGGGGTGGGGGGCATGGGCTGTGGGAGTCAGGAATGGAGGTGGAGGGGAGGTTGGAAGAGGGGGCACTTTAGGTGTGCACTGGATAGAGCCATGTGTCTGAGCATGTCCAAGGTCCTCCAAACAATCCTCTAGGAATCCGGATGCCTTCTTTGCTTTAGAAACTCAGAAGGGCTGTTTATCTCTCTCCCTGAGGTAGCGGGGTTCTCAGAATCAAGAATGAATGTGGGCCGGGCAGCGGCAAGTGTCTCTAAGACTAAGGGGAAATGCAATCTGATGGGCGGCTATTTCAATCCTAACTCCTACAACATATCGCTACAGTTCTTTTCATTACTGTGGGTGAGGCAAGAGTTAATCCCAGCCTCACAGGCTACTTCTGTCTACACACACATAACCTCACTCTGGCGGAAACCAGTGGATCGAAAATTCCAGATACCGGAGGAGAGTGCACCAACAAGTTGGCTGTTGGTTGCTCTTCCCAAACGTATTTAAGTAACATACGCCATGAAAGAGTAATACAGAATTACACAGGTGCGTTCTTACCCACCCTAGAGCTCCTCACCAGCCCACCCCAACCAATACCCACCCCACCCCGCTCCCCAGCTGCTACAGATCTCTAGAGACACCTGTGGCAGGCTAACACAGGAAGATTCCGCTCCCCTAGTGAAGTTCCATCTCTCCCTTAAACTTAGTTATTAAATACATACGGTTTTCTCCCACGCCAACTGGCAAGGAGGACTCTGCAGTTAACTTTCTCTTGAAGTCTTTATAGCTCATATCTTCTTCCTTGTAAAGCAAATCTCGAATGGATGAAGAGGTTTGTGGTGGGCGGGTTTTCAAACCAGCTGACTTGGAGGCTCTGCCCAGCTTGCCAGTGATTTGTAGGCAGATTAATCAATCCTGAACATATCCGCCCTTTGGGCACATAAAACCTGCTTTTGAGAGAAACAAATTTGGAGAGGGATTGTGACAGGAAATTTGGTGTACCATAAAGGAAATAAACGGAGCTAAGACATGTTTTAGATTTTGACACTGCAAAATGCTTATTAATTACAGCAACTTCACACAGTTTACCCTTCTGCCAAGGTGGGATGACAGGGGATGTCTCACTGTCCTGCGGAAATCAACCTAAAAACAAAACAACTACGAAAGGGGGATATGTAATTGCCAGCCCTTTTAAGCCTTGTGGAAATGGGAGTTTCTGGAAAGAAACAGCAACTTCTACAGAACCTTCCACACCCGTGAGTGATTAACACTTAGTCACACTAGATGGTTTGAAAATCTGTGAGTTCAGAGCTATTTTTAGCCCTCTTTAAAAAAAAAAAAAAAAATTCCAGGCCAGCCTGGTCTACAGAGGGAGATCCAGGACAAACAACAAAACTACACAAGGAAACCCTGTCTTGAAGAAAAGGAAAAAAAAAATATTTTACCTTATGCATATTAGTGATTTCCCTGCATATATGTATGTGCACCTTGTACATGCCTGGTACTCATGGAGGTCAAAGAGGGCATCAGATCTCCTGGACCTAACTGAGCCACCTCTCCAGCCCTCCATCTTTAGCCCTCTCAATACCTGTTTATTGCTCTTCTTTGTCCCTGACCTTTATGACCATCAGGTAACTCAGAAGACTAGCTTTCCTTGGAATATATTAACAGACAGAAAGCTCCCACAAACCCAAGGGCTAAGAGCATCATCAGGTATCATCTGACCCCTGGGACAAGGTCCCCTCACTTTGCTGTAACCCCCTCTCTGATGTTTCCACCAATGTGCTTTAAGTGTCTTTATGTATGGCTTCCTTTATTCTGTGACTATAAAGACTCTACTACCACCTTGGAACATGGAATTTGGGGTAATGTAAATCTTGTTCCTGGGCCATGGTCACTCATTTTGTTTCTGTAGTAAACTCTTAACCCCTCTGAGGTGAGAGTTGTGATTCTGCAGACAATGGACAGTGACTCTGGGAAGAGGATAGGAGAGCACATTGTCTCTGTAGGAATAGTGAGGCAGAGAAGAGGTAGACTAGATACCAGTTAGGGGGCCAATCTTTCCAAGACATGAAGTTTGAGCACATTTTGGGAATCTGTGTGTGTGTGTGTGTGTGTGTGTGTGTGTGTGTGTGTGTGTGTGTGTACCAGAAAATTGAAGCTGTATTTGTGGTCTGATTGGAAGCAGATGAGTTGTTTTTACTACCCAGTGATATTGTTTCTGCAGCTGGAGCTAAACTCTGAGCTGAACCCTGAACTCTGGGGCTAAGCAATTCTTTATGGATGGGGCTACAGCCTAACACATCCTGACTCACTTCCTCATGTCCTGAGGCTCTTAATCAAAATATCCCAACTCTGTTAGGGTGAAATAGAAAATGGGGGAGAGGAGTCATCATTTGGAGAGGCTGCTGGTGGGTCCCAAAGGTGGGGTGAGCATATTGAGGATGCTCCTCTGAGGAGGAGGCTGAGAAGGGAGAGAGAGATTGTTCCCAGAATGCCCCTTGCTTCTGCAGTGCTTCCTGTTGTCTGATGAGGCCATGTGCCTGCTGCATTCAGCCTGGAGTGATGCAACCCCACTGCTCACTGGGCAGTTAACTGCAGATCACAATGAAGATGATTTCCCCTGTGGGTGCGTCAGTCCAATAGTTTACCCATCCATGTCTTCTCTCCAGTGTCTCTGACCTCCTGGGAGCCTGCTGGGGGCTGGACCCTCCACAGCAGGGTTCCCTTGAAGTACAGCACATCCTGCTGTGGAAGGGTCTGTTTTAGGCTGTGCCCATCTGTCAACAACCTGGGGCTTCTTCAGGGGGTGATCAAATACATGGGCAAAAGGGTTGGAAGGAGGTCAAGTGTCTCAAAGCAAGAGTGAAGGAGATCAGAGGATGTGGGGGGTTATGGAGAGGTGGTGTGGGGTTGGTAGCGGGCATGGCTCCAATATGAGGCTGCGATGTAATATCAGTAAGTCTGGAGAAGCTGTACTCTGGATGGAGGGAGAGTCGGGAAATCTCAGTGGTTGATGAGGCCCTTGATGAGTGTATGAGGATGTGCAGGGGACTGTGAAGTGAGATTTTGTTCGCCCTTCGGGAAAAGCAGTGCCATTGTGGCCATGGTCTAGGGACAAAGTGGCCAGCCTACGCTGACTATGTCTAGTTGTTTAGAGACATAGTCCATTGGATACGTGACCCCTCTCAACTTTTGGCAAAGTATTTTGAGGGCTCATCCTTGGTTAGCATGTGAAAAGAGATAGAAGGGCTTGTATGGGTCCAGAAAGGCTACTGTAGGATCCAGAGAATAGACTGAAGTATGTTTATGGGGAAAGGAGGGATTGAGGGGGAGAGAGACTCCTCTAGGGGCTGCTTTGTGGCATAATAAAGAAGCTAAGCAGCAAGGGAAATGTTAAGGACCCATGTGCAGAGAAATTAAAGAGTTTGGTAATAGAAGCAGCTCACATTTGGTTTGTGGGGTGGGGAAGGCAAGGAGTTCCTCTAACCTGGCTCTGGGTAAACTTCTCCCTCTTATGAGACTGACAGGCCCAGATAGGTGACTGATGGCTGGAGGATCTGGGCCTTGTGTCTGGAAATCATATAGCCATAAGAAACCAGGTAAGAAGGGTCATGGAACCAACTTGTGGTGGCACATGCCTTTCATCCCAGCACTCCAGAAGCAGAGGCAGATAGTTCTCTGTGAGTCCCAAAAAAAAAAAAAAAAAAAAAAAAAAAAAAAAAAAAAAATAGTCTTGGGGTGCTCGAGAAAAGCCTTGCTCATGGGCTGCAATGATGGTGCTAGAGGAAGTTGGACATGAGGAGATTAAATTGGATACAGAAATCAGGCCAGATGATGTCAGCACAT